CCATTGTTAAAGTAGAGTTACAGAGGCTGACCACTAGCGAAAAGAGAATATCCCCAACCTTAAAGGAAGGGGGTGGGAAAGATGATCCCTTCTTACCTATATGACCTTCAGCAAGTACTTAACCTCCCAAAGGCCTCAAGTTTTCATTTGTTAAAATGAGGTTGATGGACAAGATGATCTCTGGTGGACAAGATGTTCCTTCCAGCTCTAGATGTGCTCCTACGGACCTATGACTTTCCATGTTTATATTTAAGAGACAGGAAAATAAAAATATCAGCCCATAGCTGAATATAATCATCATATACTAATAATGCTTTGTGTGGCATCTTATATTTTATTTTTCACTTTTGCATCTAGTATCATTTGATTTTGATAACAACCCTATGATATGGAATGGGATTATTATCCCCATTTTACATATTAGGAAACAGTGGCCCTGAAAATGGACATAATAATGATGATTATAATGATAATAATAATTAACATTTATATAGTACTTTAAAGTTTACAAACTGACTTTAAAAATTATCTTATTTTGATCCTCACAAAACCCCTATGAAGTAGTGTTGTTTTTATCCCCATTTTACAGGTAGCTAAGTGGCAACATGGATAGAGCCTCAGGCTTGGAGTCAGGAAGATCTGAGTTCAAATCCAGCCACAGACACTTGCTAGTTATATGATCCTAGGGCAAGTCACTTAACCTCTGTCTGAGTTTCCTCATCTGTAAAATAGGGTTATAACAGCACCTAACTCCCAGGGTGGTTGTGAGGTTCAAATGAGATAAGATTTTTAAAGTGCTTAGCACAGTGTCTGATACATAGTAAGTGTCAGATAACTGTTAGCTATTATTATGTACAGTTGAGGAAACTGAGGCCTGAAGTGGTTAAATGACTTGCCCATGGTCATATAGCAAAGTATCTAAGGAAGGATTTGAATTCTGGTCTTCCTTACTCTGAATCAAACATGCTATCCACATGACTTCATCTAGCTGCCTATGTCTCGTCCAAGATGGTATATCAAGTTCATAAGAAAACAAGAACCAGAACCCTGGCGTCCTGACTCTTAATCAGTGCTTGTCACCACACAATGAATGACTAGATTTCCTGTGTCCTTGAGGGGTCCTGACCCTCAGCTACCATTTCTTAGTAAAGAGAGTTCTTTAGGGGAAAAAAGAAAGGATATAAGATGATCTAGGCTTCTGATGTTGCTCATTCCAATGTTTTACACTACTTTATACCCAGAGAAGTGAGGTCCCTGAGAAGGAATGAGACATGGAGAAAATAAAGATCACATGAAGGGTCCAGGAGAGTAACCCAAACTGTTTTTGTATTTGTGCTGACCACATATTTGTCTGTCAGCAAATGCAGGTGAAGCAAAGCATCCAAAAAACCAACAGGATCAACTTTGGGGAAAATAGAGTGTTATTCATAGTGGCCATGCTAAATGTGGCCTTAGAGAAAGGGGATTCTAAGACACCTGCACTCTAGTATTTGCTCTGAAAATAATGCCCTGTATGAGCCTAGGTGAGTCACAGAAAACAAAACCTTACAGCTGGAGGCTGTAAGAGGCCATCTGGTTCCATAGAGAAATCTCTTCTACAGCCTCTGTTTAAAACCTTAGGTAATAGGGAACTCAATATCTTGAGGCAGCTAGGTGGCACGGTGGATACAGCACAAGACAGAGTCATGAAGACTTGAGTTCAAATCTAGCATCAGGCTGTTACTAGCTATTTCACCCTGGATACACCATCACTTAACTTCTGTTTGCCTCAGTTTCCTTATCTATAAAATGGCGGTAGTACCTACCACCTCTCAGGGTTGTCGTAGAGATAAAATGAGATAATATTTTTATAGTTCTTTGCAATCCTTAAAGTGCTATATCAGTGCTCGCTATCTTTACTAAAAAGGTTAGCCCATTCCAGTTTTGGTATGCTATAGTTGGTAGAAAAATTCGACTTCTACTGAGTTGAAATATGACTCTGCAGCTTCCTCCCGTTGCTCTCAGTTCTGCCTTGCGGGTCAAACAGAACAAATCTAACTTTTTAAAAATATTGTTTGGTTTTTCATTACCTTCATTTTCAAATATCTCTTACCTCTCCCCTAGCCAGAAAATCCTGTAACAAAAAATAAAAGTGAAAAAGAAAAAAAAAGACAGTTCTATAAAACAAGACAATACATAAAGTGACTGACAATATACACAATGTTCCACACCTATTGTCCCCCACCTCTCCAAAGAAGGGAAGGAGGCATATTTTCTCATCTCTTCTTTGGTGCCAAGCTTGGTATCTAATTCTCTTTTCCACATGACAATCCAAATACTTTAGATAGTAATCATATTTCCCCTAAGTTTTCTCTTCTTTGGGCTAAACATCCTTAGTGCCTTCAGCCAATTCTTGTGTAGTTGGTTCATAGGCTTATAGATTTTAGCACTGATAGTGATTCGGGAAATTATCTGGCCAATACTTGTCATACTACAGCCACTCAGTTCTCAGCAAATCAGTCTCATTCTCCCGATCAACATGGTTACCAGCAAAATAGCTGCAAAGTCTGCCTGTTAGTTTTGATCAATTCCTATCAGGTTCTGTATTTTCTTTTTTTTTTGGCTGGGCAATGGAGTCAAGTGACTTGCCCAGGGTCACACAGCTAGTGAGTGTTATGTGTCTGAGGCTGGATTTGAACTCAGGTCCTCCTGACTCCAGGGCCAGTGCTCTATCCACTGTGCCACTTAGCTGCCCCCAAATTCTATATTTTCTATGTAACTCCTCTTATTGCCTCCTATGTCTTCTGTCCCTTTTTAATTCCTATGCTTAGCTTTCTTTCCTGCTTCTGTCTCCATCTGGTCATCTCCTATCCCTATTCTGACACTTCAAATCAAAGCTTCTTTATAAGTAGGACCCATGTCTAGTCTTTGATTTAAGACTCAAAAATTCCTCATTTTATCAGATGTGACCCCAATAGTCATTATATAATCTTCCCATAGTCTTTAGACAGTTATTTGATATACAGTTTCTTAGTAACAATCTTTAAAACTATAAAAACATTCATATCAAACTTTCTGATGGACCATTCTGTAGTCCTCTTGAATTCAACATTTATCTGAGGGGGAGCTCTCTCTCTGATGCTTAGAATAGTCTGTCTCTCCCCATTTTTAATTGAGAGATTGTGTATCTTTTGAAGCTGGTCTTATCAGTCTTATTTCCTTATGGAAATGTTCTTTTTCTGCCCCTTTCAGCAACCAAAATGTTCACATACAAAATGTTCACCTAAAAAGAAAAGAATAGCATTCAGAGGTGACAATTTCACTGTAAATCACACCACAGTTGGAGTGTTGTTTTCACTTCCGGGTGTCACATTATTGGAAGGATGTTGACAAAATGGAATGTTTGGGGCAACTCTGATTCCTTCCAGCTTCAACATTCTAAGGATAAGTGTTAGAACATCCAGTCTAACATGGGGAGGTCCTTCAGTTTAGGTAATGTCCCAATGTTGTTATGATGCTTCTAATAACCGCACTTGAAAATACTGGATACATAGCTAAGCTTGACCAAGGTAGTCAGAGAACTGGTGACCATGCCCTGCTACTATTAGTTGAAGAAACTGGGATTCTTTAGTCTGTTGAAAAGAAGGCTGAAAGAACAGGTCAGAAGGAATCAGAGAAACAGAACACATATGAAAGTTACATGAATTTACAATCATGTAATTAAAGAGAATTATAAAAAGAATTTATATAATTAAAAGCTCTACATAGTGGAGATTTGTAGTTTCATATACAATCCCTTCCTTTTTTTTTTTTTTACAAGGTATATGATAGGATGGAGGTTTTCAAGCAGAGAACAATTTAGAAGGATATTGTAGAAAAGATTCCTGCTCATAGACTGGTTCATCCAGGTGCCCTCTGGGGCTTCTTTCAGGCCAGAGACTGATTCTGACAGTCTCTCTGGTATTATAGAAAACAGCTGGCCTCTAGGTTGATGTCAGGGAGGGATTGGGCAAATGGATGGTTGGTGCATCACTAGTCTAGTTCAGAGTGTCTAACACAAGACCTAAGGGTGGGTGAAAGTACCAGATTTCCAGTACTTAGAAGAATACTTGATTTAAAATCAGAGGTCCTGGGTTCAGACTCTGGCTCTGCCGTTTACTACCTTTGTGACTTTGGGCAAATCACTGAACTTCCCTAGGGCTCAGTTTTCTCATTTCTAAAATGAGGGGGTGGACCTAGCTTACCTCCAACGCTCCTTCTGCCTCTCAATCTCCAATCTTACACCCCTACAGCCCAATGAATATGTGAAGACTCTTGCAGACATGAAGATCATCCTGAAAGAATTGTGCCGAGAGCTTCGGGAAGAGCGGCGGGGCATGAATGAGCTCCAGCAGCAGTTTGCTAAGGCTAAGTCTGCCTGGGAAATGGAGAAGACTGAGCTCAAGTGCCACCTGGCACAGGTGAGGCCTTTAGCTGCCAGGCTCTTCCTACCTAATTCCTGCTCATCCTTTAAAACCCAACTTCAATGTCCCCTCTTCCACAAAGCCTTTCCAGTTCTCTCTAGGTGTTTCCTCACTTTAATCCGAGAGGGCACTTATGCATTTATCATGTATTATTATCTCCGGTAATTATCTGTGCATGTTTCAGGTACTGTTACTAGAGCCTCATGAAGGGAGAGACTATGTCTTATTTAAAATTTCTATCTCCCCAAGCACCTATCAGTGTTCTGCTGCACATGGTAACACAGTAGGCACTTAATACATATTTGTGGAAGTGAACTGCCCCATCCTGGGCCACCCAGGAATTTATACTCAGTCTGGAAATCCATCTACTTCCCTGAGAAAATGGACCAACTCTCCCTACTAGCAGCCACTTTAGCTCTCCTCTATGTCATAGCCAAACCTACCAAATAGGGTGGATTCTGAATACAGAAACAGCCCTAGCCCTTCTTGCTGAGCTGCTGCTATTGGGCTCATTTCAGCTAGGGTTCCAAGGTCAGAAATGTTAAAACCAAACTCTTGTGAAGGGACCAGTGGGAGGTAGAGAGGGAAGCAAAAGAGGGAGAGAGGAAGGTGTCAGATCATTAGGCTACTGAGATTAGGATATATTAGGCTATATGAGTACACTTGGGCAGCAGGTAGTAATAGGGTCAGGAACATAGGGTGACAGTCAAATCATCAATTGAATGTCTTTTTTGTTTTTGTTTTTTTGGCTAGGCAATGGGGTTAAGTGACTTGCCCAGGGTCACACAGCTAGTAAGTGTCAAGTATCTGAGGTCGGATTTGAACTCAGGTCCTCCTGACTTCAGGGCCAATGCTCTATCCACTGTGCTACCTAGCTGTCCCCGTCAATTGAATGTCAAGAAGACCAGAGGTCAGGAAAGAAGGGATTGAGTTCATGTTCATAGGTTGAAACTGGGTGGAACCAGGTTCAGATCACCAGTTGGGAGGAGGGTCTGTGAAGCCAAAGGAGCTAGGGGTCCTATAGTTTAAATAAAACACAGTCTCTGCCCTCATGGAACTCAGAGTCTAATAGAGGAGCAATGGCCCTGGCACAAATAATTGTAAATTAGAATACTAAAAGTGCATAGGAAAGTGCTTTATAAATATTAGGACACTATCTAAATGTAAGTTAATATTATAAGAGGTAAGAAAAAAATGTGATGGCTAAAGAATCATAGGATGATATATTTAGAGCTAAAAGAGAACTTAGTGGCCAAGTCTAACATCCTTATTTTACAAATGAGGAGTGAAGCTCAGAGACGTTAAGTTTCTGAATTAGAATTTGAACGCAGGTCTTTCTAACTCCAAATCTAGTACTCTATCTACTACTCCACAGTGCCTCTAAATCAAAAGATCATTGCTGAATTGATGATAGCAAGTCCAATCACCTCATGTTACAGAAGAAGAAACTGAGGTCCAGAGAAGTTTAATAACTTGCCCAGGTCACACAGGTAGTAAGTATGGGAGGCAAAATTTGAACTGAGTTTTCCTAATTGTACTCCAGTGGTCTGTTCTTGATACACTACCACTTAAATAGGGAAAGAAAATGACTGCTCTGCTCAGAGATTTCCCCCAATGTTCTGTGCTGAGACTCTTCATTTACAGACATATCAAACTCTTTCCCTCTACCAGGTGATATGGGAGATCAGAGGAAGCTTCATAGAAAAGGGGCATTTGAACTAGGTTTTGAAAGATGGGTAAGATTCCAATGGGAGAATTTTTCCACATGAACAAAAGTACAGAGGTCAAAAAACTGGATCATGTATGGAGAATGATGATCCATTCAATTTGATTGGTGGGAAGGGAAATAAAATGAGATAATCCTGAAAAAAAAACAACAACAGGGAAGCATCATACTGGAGGGCTTTGAATACCAGGCAAAAAAGTTTGGACTTTATTTTATTTTTGTAAGGCAGTGGGGTGAAGTGACTTGCCCAGGGTCACACAGATAGTGTCAAGTGTCTGAGGCCAGATTTAAACTCAGGTCTTCCTGAATCCAAGGCTGGTGCGCTATCCACTGAACCATTTAGCTGCCCCCTGGACTTTATTTTATAATAAATGGGGAGCTATTGAAGGATTTTGAGCAGTGGAATGTTGTGATCAGAGCTGCTCATAAGGAAAATTCTCCTTGCTTTTGAAGAACAGACTGGAAGGTCACTAGAGAGTGACCAGTTAGGAAATTATTCAATAGTTCAGGAAAGAGGATGTGAGAATTTGGTAGTGGGCATAAAGTGTGACTTCAAATGTTGATTGAATTAAATTACTATCAACTAACTAACCTATGTCGAGGCTATCCCCATTTATTGTATGATAAAATATAGGGATGAAAGTAGATTTTAAGTATAATGACTTGTTCCCTCACTTCCTACTCCACCCTGACCCAGTTGTCCATGGCTGTAGAAAGGAGAAAGCCATTGCCCATCTGTTCCTATTGCAGACAGGGAAATTCCCTTTTTGGATTTATGACATCGTAGGTAAAAAATCGGCCTTATTCTGTTCAAAATCTTATTTTTGTGATGCCATTAACAAGTGTTATATCAAGTCACTTTCAGTTGCCTTCCCCCACCCCAACCCTGGCTGTAAAATGAGGGGTTTGGACTGAGTAGTCTTTAGGAGCCCTTAGAGCTGTGACAGTCAGTGATTCTAGAGGAGACCAGGGATTGGAGAAGGAGCTAGGCCAATTGCAGTTCTTCTCCCTAAACTGTCAGGCCTTATGTTTTGCCAGCTGGAACTAAAACCTGGGAAAGGAGTGGGTGAGCGAGCCCTGCCTGACTGGAAGGCCATCCTGAAAAGAGAAAGGGAGGAACACCAGCACCTCCTGGCTGAGTCCTACAGTGCCGTCATGGACCTCACTAAACAGCTACAGATCAGTGAGAAGAACTGGGACCAACAGAAGATAGAGCTGCTGGATAGGTTCAAAGATGAGAAGCAGCAGGCTGAACAGCAGGTGAAGGAGCTACAGAATAAAATAAGCCAGGTGAGGAAGCCCTCCTTGTCCCCAAGAATATGCCTACATGCACTCACACGTACATTCTGACACTAGAACGTGGACTGGTACATTCAGTACCCATGTGCACATGTATTCATAAATATTCCTATTTATGCACAAAGCCTCACATAATATACATGCACAGAATGCACAGAAACCCACGTGCAAAGACACATGCAGACATATATATGCAGACCTACAGATAAACAGGTACACATGGTCATTGTAAGTGCTAGGAAACTGAACTCAAGCACGAACGAAAGACAGAACAAACCACACTAGTTTTCTTATTTTAAAATTCTATTTTTTTTAATTAACCATTTATCTTTCTCTTTTAGTCTCCACTGAAAAAAAGAAAAAACCTTATGACAAATATGCAATCAATCAAAACCAATTCCTGCATTGACCATGCCTTAAAATGTCTTTCTACATAGAGTCCAGTCTTCTCTTTTGTTAGGAAGTCACACCACTTTGGGTTGGTTGGTTGTTTTTTTTTTTTTGGTGTTTTTTTTAATTGAACCATGAATCAAAAGCCAAGAATAAAAAATAGTATCGGCTAACCCATGGCATCCACATAATTCCCAGACTCAGGCTGACCCAAATCTGGCTACTTTCATTCACTTGAGGTAGCTACTATCTGTGTATCTGTCTTCACTGGCTCACCCTCACTAAGCTCCTCTCAATTAATAAGTATTTGAGGCAAGATTTGAACCCATGGGGCAACTAAGTGGCGAAGTGAATAGAGCTCTGGCCTTGGAGTGAGGAGGACCTGAGTTCAAATCCAGCCTCGGACACTTACTAGCTGTGTGACCCTGAGCAAGTCACTTAACCCCAATCACCTCACTAAAAGCAAAAAAAAAAAAAAAAGATTTGAACCCAGGTTTTGCTGTCTCTAATGCCATTGGTCTATCCTCAATACCACACTACCACTTATGGAAATGGGTACTTCTCTCCAGGATTTTTCCTCCATTGTGTTATGCTGAGACTTTTTATAGTTTGAGGACATATCAAACTTTTTCCTTCTGCCTGGTAATACAAAAGGTGTGAAGGTTCATAGAAAATAGGGCACACAAGAGCTTGGTTCTACACTTGTCCTTCCTTCTGCACTAGAGAGATGTGAGATTTGTTCCCCTTCTCCTTAAGGAGATTCTCTTGTTATCCAATTGCAAACGGATCTGAGAGAGCCCAGGGACTGGTTTCATTTGGTACCAGGGCTTCTGATGGGTCCTAACTGTATATAAGCAGAGAACTTACTCTCTCACACAGTCTTCCCTTAAAGCTCGACAGAGAGAGACATTTTCCCCTAAAAGCTATTCAAAGTCCATATCTGCTTTAAGGTATCCTCACAGGTTTGTCATAAAGAAGATGTAGATGAAGAGGTCAGGGCACCAGACTTAAGAGTTAGGAGATCTGAGTTCTAGCCCTGGCTCTGCCAGTCACTTGTTTTGTGACCTTGGTAAATCACTTGACTTCTTCACTCACTCATCAATCCTCATCTTTCAATAGTGATAGTAACACCGACTATATCCACTTCATAGGACTGGTCTGTGAATCAAATAAAATAACAGATATTAAAGTGCTTTGAAAGTAATAAAAATATTTCATTCTGAGTGTGAGAGAAAATAGATTTTTTTGTTCACTAAAAAAATTTAAAAAGAAATTAAAAAGATAAAAGCGCAAACTTATGATTTTGCCAATAATAATAGTAAGAGTCTAACCCTCTCCTACTTCATGCTCTAGGACTTTATAGTAATAATAACTTACATTCATATAGTGCTCTATATTTTGCCTAACATCTTTTAAAAATATTTTATTTTTTCCAATTACATGTAAAAACAACTTTTAACATTCATTTTTGAAAATGTTGAGCTCCAAATTTTCTCCATCCTTCACCTCCCCCCTCGAGAAGACGATCAATTTGATATGTTATACATGTGCAGTCATTGCAAAACCTATTTCCATATTAGTCATGTTGTGAACGAAAATAGACCCAAAAAATGAAAAAAAAAAGTAAAAAATAGTATGCTTTGGTCTGCATTCAGATTTCATCAGTTCTCTCTGGAGGTGGATAGCATTTTTCATCATAAGTCCTTCAGTATTATCTTAGATCATTGTATTGCAGAGAATAGCTAAGTCATTCACAGTTGATCATTGTACAATATTGTTGTTACTGTATATAATGTTCTACAGGTTCTGCTCATTTCACTTTTTTCAAAATATTTTTATGTACATTGTCTCATTTTATCCTCACAGTATTCCTGTGAAGAAGCTTAAGCTAGTGTTAATATCCCCACTTTATAGATGAGAAAACTGAAATTCAGTGAAGTGACTTAACAGAAAAGTTTGATGAACACTTGCTAGGGGATGTTTAGACTAGTGGTAATTCTTAATCAGGATTAGGTTGGATTGTGTGGACTTTTCCTATGTTGAGATTCTGTCATACCTAAGGTCACATAAGTAGCAAGTCGCAGAGCTCAAACTGAAACTGATATCTTCTGACTCAAGTCCATTAATCTTGCTGAGAAGTTAGGATGATGTAGTGGAAAGAGCATAGCACTTGAAGCCAAAAGACCAGGATTCAAGTGTGGCTTCTGCTACATAGGGTACATAAGGCAAATCATTTCCCTTATCAGAGATACAGTTTTTTCAATTATCAAATAGAAATAATACCTATACTACCGTTCCTCACGGGATTATGAGAATCCAGTGAAATTGTAAAACTTAAAAGTACCACACAAATATGAGGTATTATTTACACACACACACACACACACACACACATTCCATTGTCCCATAAGTCAATGGGAAGGTTTTCTCTTATGGTCAGCAGCAAAGTTCAGTTTCTGGCAGAGAGGAGCAAGTATCATTTTGAGGACAAGCAGATGACCATCCCTGAGCATTGGCAAAGGGATAATTTTGCATTCTCTGCTACTACCTAGCTGCAAAAGGGAGCTGATTCCTGGGCTTTGAAACACATTGAGATGGAAAAGCATGACAGCAGCTGGAAAGAGGTGAGTCGAGCTTCCTCAACAGCTGGGCCAGTCAACTTGCCAAGGTGATGATCCCGGGTCTCCTAGCTTACCAGCAGGGGGGTAAGGAAGACAGAAGTTGCTGACTTGTGAGAGGGCTGGCTAGAGCAACTACTCATAAAAAAAGCAGGGAGGAGCCAGAGAAAAATCTGTTTCCTGGGATATTTGCTGCCCTCCATCCTAAACATATTTTGCACTGCTATGGGTACCCATAGCATAAACCCACTTGTCATAACCATATCTAGCTGCTCAAGCACATCCTTGAAGGAGACATTCAAGGTTTCATATTGATTCTTACAATAAGGATGCAGTGGAGGATCTGAGTTTAAATCCCTTGGGCAAGTCATTAAGCTCTCAGCCTGAGTTTCCTCACCTAGAATATGAGGGATTTGAAAATAAGCTCTGTGGTCCTTCCAGCTCTAATGTTTTATGACTGCATGTAAAGATATCCAGCCTCCATAGAAAAGAGGCAAACCTCCATACCTCTTCCATTAATTGTTTTTTTTTTTTTTTTTTTAGTGAGGCAATTGGGGTTAAGTAACTTGCCCAGAGTCACACAGCTAGGAAGTATTATGTGTCTGAGGCCAGATTTGAACTCAGGTCCTCCTGACTCCAGGGCCAGTGCTCTATCTACTCCACCACCTAGCTGCCCTCCATTAACTGTTAATGTGGGAAAGTCTTTCAGCTTAAACAATGTTTAGGCTTTGTTATAATGCCTTTATTAGCCACAATGAAGCTGGGTAGATAAATGGAAAAAGCTGGAAGCCAGAAGACCTGATTTCTTATGCCTCCTTTATGTGTGTTCTTACACATCTAACCTGTTTTGGGCATCAGTTTGCTCTTCTGTCAAATGGGGATAATCTAATTCTGTGTAACCTTAGGCAAGTTACTTAGTTTCTCTAATCTAAGCCACTATTTCCCCACATGACAAAATTGGGTTAATAATCCCAATCCTTCCAACTTCCAGTATTGTGATAAGGGTATAGTGTTCTATCATATGTGAAAGTGCAGTGAAAAGAATGAAGTTGCTATAGAAATGAAAGGAATTTTTGCACGAAGCCAATCTTAGATTTTGGTATTTTGAGGCTATAGAGGCAGAGGACCCAGGTTCAAATATCTAATGAGATTTCTAATGTTTGTTTCCTGTGTGACCTTGGGCAAATCATTTAACCTCACTGGGTCTCGATTTCCTCATCTGTAAAATGAGCAGATTGAACTAGATGTCCTCTGAGGTCCCTTCAGCTCTAAAGCTATGATCCTAGGAAAGTGCTTTGAGGTTACAGAAGAAAGTACTGTGTTTATTTATATTGTGTTTATCACTTCACTTCTCCCTTCTACCATGGTGACTAAACCATAGTGTTCCTCTCCTCTTCCAGACCCTTATTGAGAAGATACATGACAAAGAGACCATTTCTGAAGCTGATGCCAATGGAACCAACTTAAAGAGGTTAGGAGGCCTGGGCCCCTGGGGTTTGTTGTGTTCTGACCACCTAACCCCCACCCCCAACCCATACCTTCCTTTTAATGCTTCATGTGCTGTACATGCTATGGTTTCCGCTTAGCCAGGAGTCATCCAGGAACTTAGGGTAGTAGAAATATTTGTGCTTTTTAAAAAAATTTTATTTTTTAAATGAGTGGGGCCTTTGATAGCAAGAGAAACTAGGTTCCTCTTTGTTCCTTGTCATGCTCTTTCATTCCATTTGGGGGTCAAAGGAAGCAGCATGCAGGTCTTGAAATTCATTCCTTCAATAATATAACCACCTACTATGACTTGTTTGTCCCAGTGCCTAAGAAGTTTAAAATCTTATTTGCTCATAGCTAACAGAATGCTAGAAGTGCTAAGTCAAAAATTATCAGATGCCAAAATGTATGGCATGTAGTTTAGTGGTCTCACACTCATCCTTCTCTACTAAAACTATCCTATTTTTTTCCCTTCATAAACATTTGTTAATTTGATTCTGTATTTGTATGATTGTAGAACTGCATAATATGTCTTAAGCAGTCCCAAATGGCTCTTTGAGGCCCTGGCATAAACAGTAAGTCTCATGGGCAATAGGGAGAGACAGAAGCCATTATGTGAGCTGGAGAGGTAGCAAAAAGCTTCCTGTAAAGAAACTGAACCTTAAGATAGGTCTTGAAAACAAATAGGCTTTGAATAGGTAGGTGGGAGCAGGGAGGGAAGTCCCTACAAGGACAACATAAGCAAAGGCATGGAGGAGGAACAGAGCCTGGTATGAGTGGAGGTCATTAAAGAGGATGTCTTGATGGTAGAGGATAAGAATCAGTGTGGCAAAGTAAAGTGCTGGACTTGCAGTCAGGAAGAATTGGATTTAAATCTTACCTCCATAACCCACTAGCTGTGTGAATGTGTACTTTAGCCTCTCTGAGCCTCAGTTTCTTCACCTATAAAAAAAAGATAACAGTACCTATAGAACTTACTTCACACAGTTGTTAAGAGGTTTAAATGAGATCATGTATGTAAAACTCCATATAAATGTCATTATTACTGGGGGTCTTCCCAGTGAAAATGGGGTGAAAATGAGGTAGGTTCAGATTATAGAGATCTTCAAATGTAAACTAAGGGGCTTAATACACTAGGCAGTGAATCCTCCCCATCTGTACATGGTACCTGATGCAGTAGTAAGAGTCAGAGGATCTGGCTTCAAATCCTGGCTCTGCTACTTACTCCTTGTTTAACCTTAGGCAAGTCACTCACTCATTCTGGACCTCAGTTTCCACATCTGCAAAATGATGCATTTGTATGAGATGATCTGGGAGGTTCCTCTTCTTTATCTGGTTTTATGATCCTATGTGCTCAAGGTTCCTCTTCTCACCTGTAAAACAGTCTCCAATCCATGAGCCCAAGTTTTGTTGTGCTCATCATATCTTCTTCTCCCACCAGGACCAAATCTGTTTCTTCCATGTCTGAGTTTGAAAGTTTGCTTGACTGTTCTCCTTACCTTCCTGGCAAATCATCCAACATAGTCAACGAAACTTCCCGAGGCAAAAAGACCTCTCCAGCTGCCTCCCTGCTGCCCAATACCCTGATGGATACTGCCACAGTGAACCCTGCCAGAATTGCCTTTGTGGACAATGAGCAGGCCAGCCCAGAAAAGGGGACCAAAGAGAAGCTGGGGCTCTCCCCTAGAGATTGCAACAGGAGAGGCAGCCTGGCCTACCAGGATTGTGCCCAGAAGCAGATGCAGAGGAGCTACACGGCTCCTGATAAAACAGGCATCCGGATTTACTACAGCCCACCTGTGGCCCGTAGGCTAGGGGTCCCTCTGGTCCAGAATAAAGAAGGAAAAATTCTCATTGAGCCCGGCTTCCTCTTTACCATGGCCAAACCCAAAGAGTCAGCAGAGTCGGAAGGCTTGGCTGAAAGTACATATGGCCGGTGGCTGTGTAACTTCTCCAAACACCGGGAACTTTTGGACAGTAGCCCAGTCAGCAGTTCTGCAGCTCCTGTGCCCAACTTCCCCTCTGCCCTACATGACTTTGAGATGTCAGGCAACATGAGCGATGACATGAAAGAAATTACCAACTGTGTCCGCCAGGCCATCCGCTCTGGCTCTCTGGAAAGGAAGGTAAAAAGCATGTCAAGTCAGACTGTAGGGCTGACAAGTGTAGGCACCCAGACTATCCAGACAGTGAGTATTGGTCTTCAAACTGACCTGCCTCGGGGAAGCCTGCATGGCAAGAGTTGGTCACCCCGTAGCTCTTCTCTGGTATCTGTCCGAAGCAAACAGATATCTTCTTCACTGGAGAAGGTCCACTCTCGCATTGAAAGACCTTGTTGTTCTCCTAAATATGGGTCACCAAAGCTTCAGAGGAGATCTGTGTCCAAACTGGATAGCTCTAAGGACCGAAGTCTGTGGAATCTTCACCAGAGTAAGCAAAATGGATCAGCTTGGGCCAGATCCACCACAACCCGAGACAGCCCAGTCTTAAGCAACATTAATGACGGACTATCTAGTTTGTTCAATGTAGTAGAGCACTCTGGGAGCACTGAGTCTATCTGGAAGCCAGGGAGCCAGGAGACCCGCACCAAACCAGAAACTCACAAGTATGGTATCGTACAGGAGTTCTTCCGTAACGTGTGTGGCCGCTCACAGAGTCCCACTTCTGGGACAGATCGGAAGGAAGTAGTGGGAGATGAGTGCACCAAAAGGCCAGAGCCTCTTTCCCCAGCAAGTTACCACCAATCTGAAGGCATTGCCAGGATTTTGAGCAAGAAAACTCTAAAGCTGAGCAGCTGTGAGGAGGTCAAGCCAGCTTTACTCTCCCAGGGGGGTAAGGATGGAACCCCTCGAGATCCAGATGGCAATTTGACTGTGGCTAATGAGGTAGGTATGTGGGTTCTTTCCCTTTCTGTGAGAACTAAGGCAGGGAAGGATGGAGTGTTGCCATGCTAGGAGTCCTTGTTTTAAAACTGAGATTGTGCGTCTTACTTCTCTGTTTCCATTTCCTTCCTTAAAGTGCCTTACCCCTCATCCCTTCCAAAAGACCAATATACTCTTATTCTCATTCCTGGTGGGAAACATCACAAATACCTAAGAGGCATTCAGAAAGGGAAGCTATTTGTGGGTAGGAAGTCTCATACAAGGTTGATTGGGGGGAAAGGGGAACGGGAATCCCGCTATCTCCCAAGGCAGCCCATTCTACTTTTGAGTCACTGATTATTAGAAAAATTTTCCTTTTCTCAAGCCTAAATTTGTTTCTTTTTCTTTTTGGCTTTTTTTTTTTGTGGTGAGGCAATTGGGGTTAAGTGACTTGCCCAGGGTCACACAGCTAGTAAGTGTCAAGTGTCTGAGTCTGGATTTGAACTCAGATCCTCCTGACTCCAAGGCTGGAACTCCATACACTAGCTACCCCCTAAATTTGTTTCTTTGCATCTTTTACCCATCACTCCTAGTTCTCCCTTCTGGAGGACAAAGAGAACAGTTCTAATCCCCTTTCCTCATGACAGTCCTTCTAATACAGTTATCATCCATGCCCCCTTATAATCTTTTTTTCTAGGCTGAACATCCACATATGACATGAATATATCCTCATATGACATGATCTTAATGCCCTTTACCATCATGACTGCCTGGCTTTGGATATTCCCCAGCTTATCAGTGTGCTCCCTAAAATATGGTACCTGGAACTAATGCAGTACTCTAGATTTGGTATAACTACAGCAGCATATAGCAGTGCCTCTTTTAATGTCATTTAAGATTCTCCTCAAGGTAAACTGCTCTCTTGCCACATCTCTAGCATCTTGTACTAGTGAAATTGATTTTTTGAACCCAGGTGTCAACAACTTTGCATTTATCCCTGTTAAAGTCCATTCTATCAAATCTGGTTCAGTATTCTAGTCTGTCAATATCTTTCTGAATCCTCATTTTTTCCATTGTGTCTCCTCTCTGATCTATATAGCTTCACATAGCTGTCAATTTGACATTCTTAAAGTACAGGTTTGACCATGTCACTCCACTCTTCAAAGAAGCTTCTGAGACCCCTATTGTCTCTAAGATAAAATAGGAACATTCCTGTTTGGCATTTAAATGCCCTTTACAATCCCTTCTCAGACTTATTTCATTTTATTCCCCCCTCACTGATTGTACATTTCTACCCAGCTGGCCTGCTTTCTGTTCCACGTACACAACATTCCATTATCTTCCCCTATGCTTTTGTACTGTCTCCATTTGTATAGCATGTTCTGCCTCCTCACCTCTGCCTCTTCAAACATCTTCCTTCCTTCAAGGTTGACCACCTCCTATATAAGGCCTTTTCTGAGTCCTCTAACTTTCTCCCCTACCACCCCCACCCCCCATTCCAAATGATAACATTTACTAATTTGTGCATGTGTTTTTATCCCCAACAAGAATTTAAGTTCCTTAAGGAACTGTTTCATTTTTTTCTTTATATGTCCAGGACTTAGCACAGTTCCCTGCTATGTAAATGCTTACTGAATTGAATCGAAATTTTCCAAGTCATTCATTGAAAAGTTTACTAAAATAGTATAAGCCTAAACATATATCCTGAGGCACCCCAGTAGATTTTCCTTCAGTCTGGAATCAAATTTGTATCTGACCATTGAACCATTTCCAAATTTCACTAATTGTGCTAAGCATCAAGCTCACATTTTTTCCATGTTTTCTACAATAGCATGAGAGACTATCAAATGCATTGCTAAAATCTGAATAAACCCTTGTCTATAGTATTATTCTAATCTCTACCAGTTTAGTTACCCTGTCTAAAAAAAAGAAATAGTTATTCTGATAAGGCCTATTCTTGCTGAAACCATTTTGGTTCTTTGTGATTACCCATTCCTGTTATAGATGTTTACTGAATGTCTGTTTTCTTAATATTTTTTGTATAATTTATCCCATTGTAAGTTTGGTGAAGCCTTCTCAGAATGTTTTTAAATAATAAATTTAATAATAAATAATATAAATAAAATAAATAAATAAATTTAAATAACAAAATAACAAAGGAGACCAATTATACTGTTATCAAAATATTTTAAAAAACAAGTTCATGGACCCTAGGTTAAGAACCCTTGTCCTAGAGTTTTTCCAGGAATCAGAATCAAACTTATTGGCCTTAAGTTCATAGACGATCTTCTCCATTTTGAAAAATGAGACAGTTTTTCCATCTCAAATCCTGCAGTACCTTTTCCCCTCAAAGATCATTGTAAGTTACTTGACAATTGTATATCAGTTTTTCATGAATCATTTTGTTGCATTTGTGTTCCCAGTGCCTAGCCCAGTATCTAAGGCAAGGCAGATTAAAAAATGCTTGTTGACTGATTGATCAGACCTGTTGACTTTAAATTATTAAGGAAACCTAGTTAGTCTCTTACTACCTACTTATTATGTATATCAATTCCCTATTAACTATTTTTGTTCTGTCATTTTTAGTCCAAATATCACACTCCTTAAAAGAAGCAGAAGCAAAAGTTGGGTAGTTCTGACATGTTTGTCACTGTTATCATAAGTACCTACTGTCCCAGGCACTCTAAGCTGTAGTCCAATCCCTCCTTTGTTCCTTCCCACCCCTTTTATCCATATTATAGCTTTTAAAAAGAGAGGCTGCATGTCAGAATGGAGAGAAAACTAGCTCTAGCATCACACTGGTTATGTAACCTTGGATACCTTTAATTAACCTCTCAGTCCCCCAGGCAATTCTCAAAGACTATAAATTGCAGAAAAATTACCAGTATGCATTGGAGTTTCCTTACTTGGACTTTATCACAAGTTTATCAACTTCTGAGTGTCTCCAGTGCTTAGTGAAAATAAAGGCAAAATTTTCTCTCTCCTGCTTTCATTTCAGTTTAAAGCTTATTAAATTTGTAAACATCTAGCCTTTACTTTTATTAGCCTTTTACTAGCTGCAAGCCTAGATAGGAACCTGTCATTCTTATATTTTAAGCTGTGGCCAAGAAATCCACATCCCTATTTTCTGGCATGGTATCCTAACCAACTACTCACTTCCTAAATCTGCTTTTCTCTTCTGTATAATATACCTTGCTTTCAGTGGGTATCTGTAATGAAAACACGATTTACTCAAGATTTTTTCATCTTTAGCAATATTTTATAGGTTTTTTCTAGCCACACTGTCTTGTCCCCACATGAATTACTAGTAAAAAGTAGAGGTCACTCTATTAACTTGCTGGATGACCCTGACTAAATCCCTTTCTCTCTCTGGGCCACAGTATTCATTCTGGTGAATAATGTTATATCTTTATGTTCCCTTCTAGCTATATCATTCTGTGATTCTATGATCCTTTTCTGTCATGGAAATACAGGGCTTTCTTTTTTTTTTTCTTCTTTTCAATCAGCAAGCATTTATTTTCTCTCCTATCTCAAATGGGAGGAAAAAAGAAAAAAAGCCTTGTAACAAATATATTTAGGCAAGCAAAACAAATTCCCATGTTGTTCATGTGCAAAAAATATGCCTCATTCTGTATTTTGAAGTCTGTCGCTTCTCTGTCAGAAGGTGAGTAACATATATCATCATCTGTACCCTGAAGTTATAATTGGTCATTGCTTTCATCAAAGTTCTTATGTCCTTCTAAGTTGTTTTTTTTTTAAATCATATTGTTTTTATAAGTTGTTCTACTGGCTCTGTTCACTTCACTCTGCATGAGTTTATACAAGTTTTCCCAGGTTTCTCTCAAACTGTCTTTTTTTTTTTTTTGACATTTCTTAAAGCACAATACATTATATTACATTCGTTTACCATAATTTTTTCAGTCATTCCCCAATTTATAGGCACTCCTTAGTTTCCATTTCTTTTCTATTATAAAAAGAGCTGCTATAAATATTTTTATACATTTGGGTCCTATTCCTTTTTGATCTCTTTGGGATATACATTGAGCAGTGGTATCACTGTGTATTCACAATTTAGTAACTTTTTAGCAATAGTTCCAAATTACTAGAACAATAAATAGCCAAAACAACCAAATAAAAACATGTGATTATATCAACAGATGGAGAAAAAGGTTTTTTTTTAATAAACTACAACACCCTTTTCTGTTACTAAAAAAAAAAAAAACACACCAGAAAACATAGGAATAAATGGACCTTCCTTAACATAGTAAGTAGAATCTAGCTAAAAACCAAGAGCCAGCATATATGGGCATAAATAATGGGGATAAACTTTTGGCCTTTCTGATAAGAACAGGGTAAAGCAAAATTGTTTATTGTCACCACTACTGTTTGATATCATGTAAGAAATGCACACAATGGCAATAAGAAAAAGAAATCGAGGAAATAAGCATAGGAAAAAAGGAACAAATTATTACTTTTTGTAGATATGATGGTGTACTTAAAGAATATACTAGAGAGTAAACTGAAAGTTTAATGAAACTAACTTTAGCAAAGCTGTAGGATATTAAATAACTAAAAGATGTACTTGGGAATCTACCAACCAAGACACACAGGAACTCATAAGACTACAGCTATAAATCACTGTTACCTTAAATGTAGATCTAAATAATTAGAGAAATATTTGCTCATGAGTAGGTTCTGGTGTTGTATTAAAAAATGGCATTACTCCCTAAATTAATTTACTTATTCAATGCTATACTAAACTACCAAATGATTATTCTTTGGAGATAAGAAAAGTTATAATGAAATTTATCTGGAAGACAAAAAGTTCAAGAATCTCAAAGGAAGAGCTAGACCAATTCATAGCTCCACTAACAATCTATTGATGTGGCATATAGGTGCCTTCTTAATATAGCAGGCAATGTGTCAATCTCATAAACTCAACATACATTTTTCCCTTCAACAGTCTCCCTCAAATTCTCCACTCATCTCTAGATTCTATGTACTCTTTTAAGAATTATTTCTAATTGCCTTATAAGCCAGATCCATAACCTTTCTTCCTTTTTTTGATAGCTGATCTGATTTTTACATTAATAATATCTGAAATGCACAAGGAGCAATGGTGCCACTTCCCAAAGGATCTTAGCAGGTCAGCCTTGAAGATATCCCCCAAGATTTAGGGTACACAGAGAAGGCAATAAATGGAATCAGCAATTTTTGACATTGTAGATGAATTGGAGGCTCACTTTTTTAAAAGATATCCCTATTCAGTGACAACAGATATTCTTAGAATGTAGGAACGTGGAAATTATCACACTGGTCTAATTCTATGGTCCATCTAGCCCAAGTGGGCTTTCTCCAACCAGGGTCCTAAGGGATATTTTGTGGAAATGCACAGTTTTCTTCCTTGATGTTAACCTGAAAGATTGAGACCAACTTTCTTCCCTAGCTCCCTGCCAACAGAAAGAAAATTCTCATTTTCTTAATGGCTTATTTGAGATCTGGCATAGTTGTCATTCAGGAATAGTTTTGCTGAACTTTTTTGTAAAATATATTTATATTTTTAGCTTGTACCAATATCTGGAGTAATCAGTTCCATAAGTTTTTCTCTATGCTATCCTAAACTTACCTCCTTCAAATTTTAATAAGGACCTAATTCTCATGTCTAGGATTTGGTGAACAAGTCCATTTTCAACCTTGTAACATATTATGTATAATTTTACGGATATTGCTCACATGCCATGTCTTCTCTACTCAACAAACATTAAGTAAAAGGCACACTCTGCTATTTTCCTTAATTCCAACTGAAAGTCAAAACAGCTACATTTAACTTTCCTAGAATATTATTTTAAAAGTCAGTGTTGTCAGACTCCTTATTGACATTAGAGTGTCTTAGAGCTCCTGGTCACAGGTTGATGCCAGTTGCCAGTGTGCCCATCTTCCTGTCATCAGTGCATTCAGGCTCATTTCTTTATTACAGCTAACTTTCTGCCTCCCCTTCCACAGGATGCCATGTGTGACTGCAGTGCCCAGTCTCTGACCTCTTGCTTTGCTCGGCCTTCCCGATCCATCACCAGGCACTCTCCCTCTAAATGCAGACTACATCCCCCCGAAACCATCCGGGGAGGGGAAGAGAGGACAGCTTCTTCCAGCGAATGATCATGCTGCCAAGGGACAGAACAGCAATGCTCCCCCTTGTCCCATCCCACCCCTCAGCAAACAGTCATCGTGAGAAGCCAAATCTCTAGTGACCCATTGAGTAGATCTGGATCAGCTGATATGAGGCAACAGAGCCCAGAGGGGGTCCAGCAGCCTGTACATCTGTCTCTTAAACACCACCTTGCATTGGAAGGAGGATTTAAGAAGCAGATGTTGCATCAAAGCTTGGAAACCTATGGAATAGGTTCCAAGGGGAAGAAATGCAAGAGATCCCTTTTGCATCAAGCAACAGGAATATCATGGGCTGAGTGACCTCCAACCTTCAGATGAGAAGACAGGGAATGGGAGAGATCAAAGTTAAGTGTTGGAGCTTCGCTACTAGGGATCTTCTCTGAGAGCCTCTTCTTGGGTGCTAAGGGAGTAGAAGAACTTCTTGCTCAACTTAAATTTTTTCTTAGGATACCTAATAGGGGAGGTATCCTTTGGGGACTACAGATACCCCAAATAGGCAGCCACAGTACAGCTAAAACTGATGTGGTTTTGAGAAGAGATTTCAACAGCCTAAGTCTTAAACCTTTCTTCCGAGGGATGCTTTTCCCCTGTAATCTTCTACAACACCAGGAAGATTTCCTTTTAAACAATAGCAAAGCCAGGAGGCACTGGCAGTGCCTGGCTATATGTGCGGTAAAAGGCCAGGAGCTTTAACAAGAAATCTGGTTGTACCAAATGGATGACACTGTATATCTCCATTACCATGCATTGCAGTTCAAACACCCAGTGTTGAGAAGACGTGATCCATCCTTTAAGACAACCCAATGAAGTTTTTGTGAAACACGATAGGTCCTGGCAATACTACATAATGATGAACTAGATTTGGACTTTTTCTCTGAGGCCCAGAATAATCCCTTCCTTTTTCTCACATTTCTTAGCCTCTGGCTCTTGCTGCCCTGGATTTCTGTGACTCTCCATGGAGTATGATAGGGTAGCCAGCCACTCAAAGAGTCTGGATCTTCATATCTTAGAAGTAAGGGGTTTTACATTCCCCATCTTTGGCAGCTCATGTCCAACAATGATGTAAAAAAAAAAAACCAATACCAGACTTGTGGGAGCTAGGGTCAGGGAATGTCGGCCTCAGGATCTGGGTACACTTAAGAGAAGCCAGGGAGCCACCAATCTAGCAGAGATTTTGTTTTTTAAGCATTTGGATATCATTGGCTTAAATCCTTGTTCTTTCTTCAGATGTGCTAGAGCAGTAGCAGCCTCAATACTATGTTTACGTGGAGCAGTCAAAAGCAAAGACACGCCTGCTAAACAACCTTGGTGGACAGTTCACTTGACCTAGCCAGAGAGGAGTTAGTGAACCTGCAATCTCCTGGACTATGGGGCAGAAAGACTCCAGAGCCCTGACACATGATACTGTTGAATTTTCCTGACTATAAATATTTAAGGTAGTTTATATTATTTTAATAATTTAATTCATTCCCCAGATCCTTAGAGTAATTTATTGAGGATTGAGAGGTATCCTGTTTGTCAGGACACAGGGCAACATAGTGCTCCCATTGAAATGTTGAAATGTTAGGGAAGTTGAGGGGGATACAAGGCAGTTCAGCAATTGAACATTGGTTTCCTTACCATATCCAGACACCTACTTGGCACAGCTGGAATCCCAGAATGCTCAATTTCCAAATGATATGAATTAATTGCTTTGGATTCAGAACCCAGATTCTTATTCACAGGCAACAGTTGTACTGGATTTTACATCCTAGTATCCCCTTCCTGAGTTCCTATTGACAGGGATGTGAGGATTGGGCTGATTCCACCATTTCCTATACATTTCCCATTTCAATTTTCAATTTCCCCTCCCACTTTTTTATGAGCCAAACATAGGTCCTTGAGCCTCAGCCAAGCTTGGTGATCCCTGAGATTCCCAGCCAGTGTACTCAGTGGAAAACTAGACTGAACCCAGAGAGTGTTTAATGCAGCTTTGCACATAGATTTTAAAATGTCTACTAACCTCCCTAAATTTTCACCAGCCTGTCCATACTTAGCCTTAATGTCTAGTAGCACATTCACTGCCTCCTAAGAATCTTCCCCTAGTCACATACTAACCTATCCATTTTTTCTACCTCCCCACCGAAGTCATTTCACTCCTTTCAAGCCATCTTCCACTACAGCTCATGTCTCTATCTATATGATCAGTCCCAAGTTTCCTTAACTAATGAGTCAGAAATCCCCAAGATGGTAGGAAGTGGCTCAGTGCCATTCTACCTGTGCAAAATAGGCTTCTAGGAGCCACTGAGTCTCATTTGGGGGGGCTATTTTTCAGGGGATTTCTGGCAGCCTTAACTGGCCACTCTAACCAGACTCGAATAGGAGAGCAGCCTTGTTTACTTTCATTTGCCCCTGCTGGTTATGAGGCCAGCTTGGAAATGTGCTCTAATGCTCACATCCAGCAGCAGTCTAAGCCCTTCTGATATTCTTCAAGATCTGACAGAGGGCAGGATGCAACATCATTAACTCTCCAGCTGAGTGGTTAGATAGACTGCCCAGGATAGCTGAAAGGAGTTAGTCTCCAATGTGATCCCTCCCTGGGGAGCACCTGGTGCCAATGTACCCTGTTTACCTTAGTTCTGGTGCACGCACACACACATACACAGAGAGCTCTGCTCTTCCTGATTGTAACCCAGAGTGGTTGTGAAATTTGACACCTGACTTAAACTGCAAAGAACGAACTAAAAAAGCAGTAAACTCAGATCTGACAAGATTTCCATCTTGGAGCAACATTTTGTTTCATTTCACCTGAGCATCTAAATAGACTTGAAAACGTTCATCTGAACCCCAGGTAATACTGCTCAACCCTACTGAGTGTTTTCTAGTAAGTTATCTAAAGTCATTAGTCTCCATTCCCTTTTGACTGAATGTTGGTGATTTTAATGTTATTAACTTAACTTGTTCTTCATGCTGTGGTCTGAAATGATGTTGGAAAGGTTCAGTGTTCCACATAAAGTGGCAGGGAGGGCATGTTGTATGAAGAAATACTGCCATCTCAGAGAGGACTCTTACCCTGGAAATCAAAAGGGATCCTCTGGGGCAAAATCCAAATCCTAACACACAAAATAAGAAAATGCAATAGACAGTCTTCATGGGATGAGGCCTGGATCAAGTGAGGGGTTTTTACCATTCCATTGCACTGTTGCTGGGTTGACTATTAATTTGGGGGTGAAGCACTGCAGGTGGAAAGACACCAGATGCCTTCTACACGACCCCCCTCAGGTGGCACAAGACCCAAGGGTATCCAGATAGCATTTGGGACTACTTGGCCCTTGGTGGGGGTGGGGTGTGTGGCTCCACTGCTCTCAAAATGTCACCAAGAAACCCCCACCAACTCCATGAAGAGATGGAGACCTGAGAATAAAGGATTACCAATCCCAGCCAATTTGCCTTACCATCTCAAGGAGCGTGGGAAGAGAGAAGCCTTGGCCCCTCTCCTCTGCCAGCCCAGCTCCAAGTAAAAAACCCCTTCCTCCTCCACATGAGAGAGGCTTTGAAATCTGATTTTTAGTATAACACTCTTTTCTATTTCTTGCATGCAGTTGTACATGATCATTTATTGTTCTAATGGAAACCTCTGGACAGTGGGTTTTTAAAGGGGTTAAAAATATTACATGTAAATACTGACTTGGTTTTGGTTTTAGCATTTTAATTTGTAACTAGGGTTTTTTGTTTGGGGTTTTTTATTTTAAAGAATCTACTATTTTGGAATGTTGTTTCTCTCTTTTTTTTCCCCCCAAATGCCTTTAAGTATTGTTAACATTCCCAAGGCAGAGAAACTGCCTGAAATGTGGGTGGGTGTACCTAGAGGGATTGTGGAACCATAGAACCAAGAGCTTTTATTCTCCACTCCCCTATCTCTCATCCTAACTTCTCCCTCCAAATTCCCTCATTTTGAAGTACCTGTTCACTCTCTGCCTGCTTGGTTTTACCAAGCCATGGCTTTATAGCACTGGGTTTTCAATTGGATATAGCTTTTGGAAAAATTAGGAATGAAACTGGGAGTCCCTTTGTGAAATCCTTTATGTCAATGTGTGGTTTTCTCATCTTTCCTTGCCTGTTTCTAACCACAGATCACAGACACACCACCAAGAAGACTGGGAAAATGAGAAAATAATTTACATACGTAAAATTAAATATGAACCAATATTGTAGCATTTATTTCCCCTGCCTGTCACAACTCCTAATGTCACTCAGATTTTAGCATTGGTTTCTATCATTAACACTCCTTACCCACTTAGGCCACTAAAGCACCTATAAACTGACTCCATTTCTACCAGGGCCCTCTGTCCCAAAGTTTTAATCTACTTTTTGATGAACATCCTACTGGTAGCTGAACATTTTCAAACATTTCTCCTAGCAGGCCTTCCTTTCCTAGTGAAAAAACGATGGCTAGAGTGTGCCAATTCATTGATGTGTTCTTAATATCTGTTTAAGACATTGGCCTCCCCTTAATATCCTTCCTCGCAGTTTTTGACAGGGCAAAAATCCTGTTCGTTTTCTTCCTACCCCTTTGTCTCCAATTTCCTTATCCTTGCCCCAAATGTTCTCACCGTCTTGTGGCTTGTTACACCATCTTCTTCCTCTCCTGACTTAACTAATTCTGTCCCACTTAGTCCCAATTCTCCAGAATCCCCCTCCTCTGTTAATAATAATAGTTCACATTTAAATACTGTTTTAAGCTTTTACAAAGTGTTTTCCTCATAACAATCCTGTGAAATAAGTAAATATTATTTCCATTTTACAGATGAAGAAACTGAGACTCAGAGTAATTAAGTGACTTACTCAAGGTCACACAGCAAGTAAATATGGGAGCTGAGATTCATGCCCAAGTCTCTTTACTTCCTCTACACTATACTGCTTTCTCTTGTTTCACTAAATCTATCAATTCACACAACTGTTCATACTTTTTATCCACTGCTACACCTTTGTATACTTATAGTAGGGACCCTTTTCTGTGCAGAGGCCCTAAACTATGGTCTGTATTCCCTACCCCAGACACAAAAACACCTGTAGTCCTGAGGTTCATTAGACCCCGGCAACGTTATTTTGGTTCTGTCACTAATTTAGTGTGAGCAGGGCAGGCAAGTCACATGATTGCTCTATATGTCAATTTCCCAATCTGCAAAATAAGGATAATAATTCCTTTCCTTTCTACATAAAGGTTGATAGGATGTAATTCCATTCCCTATAACAAACATTCATTAAACATCTACTGTATAGAAGACTCTGTCAACACAGTAATATTTAGAAAAACTACTTTGAAAACTGATATTATTACTCTATTTCTTTCTACAAAGTATGTACATACTGTACCACTGTACAGGAACCTTGTGCATACAGCTGACAATATATATGTATGCTATCACCTTATAGATACACTTGCTTTTTGCATCACACCATTCATCCAACTGAAGTGCCCAAACTCCCTTCATTTCTGTCCCGCTTTTCTTTGCATGTACCCCAAACCAATTGCATTTGATGAGTACCGTCAGAGTCCCAATCTCACTAGTTCTACTTGTACATTCATCCTATATCTCTCTCCACCCCCACTTCACTTCAGCTCAACCTTCCCTAACCCCTGCCCAACCACCTATCCAGCTAACACGTTAGCATGGAATGCTCTTGCCTGCACATACACAATATCCCCCTAGTAGGCTTGTCCTATGTACTTATCTAACATAGAATATGGATATGAACGGTTATACACAAAGAACATGCCCAGGAACTTGACCCACAACAAACCCACATTCCTGCAAACTCACTAAACATACACACTACCTTCTAACACAGGGGTGTTTTATAAAGTTTGGATTCAGTCAGAGGACCGCACTTGAGGACCTAGAGGGCCACACATAGTCTCTAGGCTGCAGGTTCCCCACCCTATTCTAACATAATAAACTTAGAAACAGTGGTATGCTTCAAGTGTCTGTACACACTCCACATAGAAAACATGTACACACACACACACAATTATTAGAATTATTAAACAGAAAAATTACTCGTGAAGAATTTAAAGGTCACCAACTCCTACCTCTCTCATAATCAAACCTTCAGAC